TCTCAAAACTGCAATCACATCACGGAAAAACACCCAAATTAGGCTCATAAGACTTGCATTGCTAAATCCTTCATATGCTCCATGGTCATCAACCACATGTAGCCAAGAGATGGCTGACTATATATAGTCTATGTATGTACTGAGAAGAGTAAAGGCTGACATAAGAAATCTAGAATCGAAAATGCTTTGACAGATGTTCAATATCTGTTAAAATGTCATGTAAAAACAGCGGCCGCCGACCTGTGTCTTTCCTTGTTGTGTCTGGGGGGTATCTCATATGTTTGAAAAGAAGAGAAGCTCGACCTGCTCATGCAAGATATCGCTTCGAGATGACGGATCGCTTGGACCCGACTTGCCAACCGTTTCCGTCCCAGCTTGTGGTGCCGCTCGGTTGGGACTTGGTGGCCTTGTAGGCTCCGGGGCCATGGTATTGGCCATTGTCGTAACTTTGACCAGTGCTGTAGCCACCGCCCTGGCCTTGTTGACTGTCAGGAGAGTATTCATCACCGTTCTGACCTTGCTGACCGTTCTGGGTGTCTTGTCCTGGCTGAGTACTGCTGGGTGAGTTGGTCTGGCCATCGCCATTTCCGCTCTGGCCGTCACCGCTGTTGCCATTGCCACTGTTTCCGTTGCCCGAGTTTCCATTGCCCGAGTTTCCGTTACCGGAGTTGCCATTACCAGAGTTGCCATTGCCAGAGTTGCCGTTACCAGAATTTCCATTTCCTGAGTTGCCGTTGCCAGAGTTGCCGTTACCACTGTTACCACTACCGCTGTTACCGCTGCCAGAGTTGCCGCCACCGGTGGTTCCGTTACCACCACCACCACCACCACCACCGTACGAGCCTCCCTGGACGTAAACCTTGATACTGTTTACAAGCCAGTAGGCGTTCTTGAAGTCGGCAGGGTTGTTGGCAACATAGTCCTTGCAGTCTCCCAAAGACGAGGTCTCTGGGTTCTTGCCCCAGACATCAGGAGAGCCAGCCCAGTCACCACAGAAAGTGGTATCAAAGACGATGTTGTTCTCCTTGAAGTGATCGTCGATGTTGCAGCCTTGGCCGCCGTTGAATTTGGCAGCGGGAGGACCCCAGGATGAAGGGGTGGGGTTACCGGACTGGATATCCTGCGGGATGCGACCACGGTGGAAGAACCACACAGCAATGTGGTCGGATGTCCACTCAGTGGCGTAGACTCCGCCGCCGATGTCATTGAAGCCATCGCCGTAGTTCTGGTTGTCTGAGGTGTTCTGGCCACAGCCGGCGGAGGCACCAGCAGAATCGCAGTTCTCGGACTCGAGGGTCGTGCCCTGAGTGGTGCCATCGTTGGTGATGCTGCAGCCAGGCCCAGTGTGGAGACTGATCTTGTTCTGGGTCTGAGTGTTGACGCCCTCGAGGATGTCAATCTCGCCAGAAGTTGGCCAGTTGGGGCCGAACATCCAGTATGCGGGCCAGACACCGGGGATGCTGCCAGGCATATGGGCAATATCGGCGATGAAGAGACCGTGAGTGAAAGCGTCGTGAGAGGTGACACGGACAGACCTTCGGCCGTTGGAGGGGTTCTTTGTCTGGTAGTCTACACCCATGTAGACAGCGCCATCGACATAGCCAGCCAAACCCTCAGAGTTGGCGGCGTCGGCATCGACGTAGTCAACAAAGCCGTTTGTAGGATCCTTCTCGTTGAAGAATTCAAAGGCTTCGAAGAAGTTGGAAGAGTCGTATGTGGTCTTGATGGAGTACTGAGAGTAGGAGTTGTTCTGTGCAAACGCACCATTGAGCAAGGCTGCAAGGCCCAGCGTGAGGATGGAGGAATGCATTGCTTCCGAGAGAAAGGGGGGAGAGTCTTTTGGAGAAAAAAGAAAGACGACAAGAGGTGTGTTGTGTTGTGTTGTGTTGTGTTGTTTCTAGTTAAAACTATTCGCAAGATCGATTCTGATTTGAAGCTGAAGTTCTTTTGAGTGTGAATGAAAGAATGCGATGAAGTCGTTCACAGATACAGATGATTTGTGCCAGGTGGTGGGGTTGTATCAGAGCGAGGCTGATGCCTTGACAAGGTCGAGTGCAATGAACAAACGATTTATAACAATAGATCCGTGAACTGTATGCCATTCATCACCTATTGTCTGAACGAGGGAATCCCCAGCCAAAAGTGGAGGGAGGGCTGGAGGGGGAGGCTATTGAAGTGAGTGACAATAGCTCCGACACTGACGCTGCCAAGGAGGGAGGTAGGTAGGTAGGTTAGTAGTCCAGCGATATAATTACTGCTCCCAGTCAATAGGAAAACAGCAACAAAACCAAGAAGAAAAGAGAGAGAGTGGATGGAAAGAGAATGATAAAACAAGGACGGTCAGCCAGCTACCGAAAGGATTGAACGGTGATGGCGACGAATGCAGCCAAGAAAGAAGTCAAGGAGTGGATGTGTCTTGTCCAAGTTTCCAAGAACAGCTCAGCCTCAGAGTAACCAGACACTGAAGACGGAAGAAGCCACACAGATAGAGAGAGACAGAGAGACAGAGAAAGAGAAAGAGAGAGAGAAGAAAAAAAAGAGTGAGGTTGGTTATGGTCTAGTAAGAGGAAGGGCTTCCAAGGAGAGGAGGGAATGCGGGAGCTATGTATAAGTTTATGTCTCTGAATATGGGCTAGGAATGTCTTACAGCCTCTCCTCTTGAACGCCAAGCTATTTTGAGAAACGAGACTAGCCATGTTTCTTTGTTACTCTCCCACCCCTTGTCTCGTTTGGGCGCTGTGTTGCTTGCTTGCTTGCTTGCTACATACATACTTGCTTCTATCGGTCAGTCCATGCTCTACGGGATAGGGATAGGGATAGAGATCAGATGGATGCTAGTGCTCGTGCTCGTGCTCATGCATGCTAAAAGATTCCGAAACAATAGCCAAAGGGGGGGGGGAGGGGGGAGAGGGGACTTTGAACAAAGTCAGGACTCTTCATATAATAGGGTGCCACCAATAGAATCTCCCACAACCACTTTTGTCTAGAGGCTCTGATGCGTAGGCAGCTTGACAGTTCCGATTCAGAGAGGGCCAAGGCCAATCACTCCAACGGAGAAAAAGCTTAGCGGAACCATATACGGCTTGGCGTGCCTGGAGATGGCCGGTTCAGGCAGGGAGACGGATAAGTCGAGGCTTGTGATAGGCCCATGTCAAGTAGACGAGCGGGTTCAGGGGTTTGCATTCACTAGAGAGCACGCTATCTGACAG